AGCAGATAGGATAGGGAGTTATCCCTATCCACTCAGAGAGTCCAGATCCAAATAATGATTTGGATTAGGAAACTCCTAATTAGATTAGGAGGGCTGATCTTAATTTGCAGATAAGATAAGGGTTTATCCTTATCTCTTAAAGAGAGTCCATATCCAAATACATATTTGGATTAGGAAACTCTAATGAGATTAGGAGCTGCTCTCTTTAAGACTATAAATAGAGGAGGAGGGCGAACCCTACTTCACTCAAGCTGATTATAGATTCAAGAGAGAAGACAGCCCCAGTCAGATTGACGCCATCTTCTGCTCTTGTCTTCCTCTATTGCTGCCGCCATTGCCAGTTCGTTTTCCACCAGTAGAAGTGATCAAGAAGTGTTCTTGATATCAGTTTTTGGAGAAAAACTGATCTGAAGTCGTGCTCACTCGCCCTCCATCGGATTTTTGGTGAAGAATCAGGTTCTTGCAGAAGGACCACCCTGCTGATTCTGCTCCACCCTACACTGTGTCATCTTCAGTGGGAGCAGTCTTTGGAGATCTCCTTGGGCGTGAACACCTTCATTGGGAGTTACTACTACTCTGTATCAGGTATATCCCTCTCATACCTTTTGGTTTCAGATCTGGTTCGGTTTAGGGTTCAAGACTGATCATTGAAAATGCAGTTTTCTAAAACAGGGAATATGATTACCACATGGGAGAGAAAGAAATTTTTGAAATTTCGCCCTACCTTTCTGCAGGGTTCGGCTATCCATATGATGGATCTCTCATCCCTTCAATTAGAACTAGCTACATGTCCAAAAGCATCTGGATCCTTGTGAGGTTTCTTCTCCTTTCTTAAAGTGGCTGGTTTCAAAATGGGATGCAAAATCCAACATGTTTTCCTTGTATGTTTCTAGTGGAACTCTTCAGATTCTTCCTATCTACCTCTTTTCCTCCTTTTGAGGTAGCAAAAACAAGAGCAGATTGCTCATTAGGCTGAATATGGACATCAGTCCTCATCTCTATCCTCCTTATTTTAGTAGTACAAAAGTTGCAAATTAGGTAGCCTGTTTCTCCCCAAAATTTGTGCTTTTATACAAGATCAAGGCCAGAAAGAAACTTGAAAACCGTCCCTTCTTCAACATATTTATCATGCTTCTCTTTTTCTGTAGACTCTGTACAGCAGTCCCAATCTATGATTACATGGTGGTCAAGCTCCTCTAGAGATCATCCAAAGTAGCAAAATAAGTTGAAATTGACATGTCCCTTTTAATTAAGGCTGCAAGGTCTTGGGTCAACTTATAGATATTAGACAATTTTTCCACGTCTTGTACGTTGTAGGATAGTATTAAACTGTCTGAGCTATTTTGGGTTTCACAAAGGAAAGCAACCAAGACATAATAGTTGTGTTTTCTCTGCACCAAATCTTGTACTCTGGTTCCTCCTTGGGTTCTTTAATCTTCCCATTGATTTATCCTAGCAGCCCACATCCAGAAATAATGAGCTTAGCTGAAATGGCCCATTCTCTGAATTGTACTCATCCAACTTCACATTGGTGATCTGTAGCTGGATAAATTAGGGTTCTCTATGTTAGAGATACCTTTAGCTAATTTGGAATCTCTAGGCGTGACCTCACTTGTGCTGGAATCCTGGAAGACATCTCAATCTTTCACAAACTAACAAGTGAGTGAAGAAAAGAACAACCAGAAAAATCTTCATGTAACCTTGAAAACTCCCACTTGAAAGGTCACAAGAATCTTTAGTGTCCCTTCTTGACAATCCAGTCCGAAAAAAACTCAGGTCTCTTTAGTAGTCTGAGGACTATTACAACTTGTCTACCTTAGTTGGGTATAACAGAACCAGTTATGGACCTCCTTGGAGTTTTCCCAAGAAAAACCCTAGAACTTGCTACAATAAACCATGACCAGAGGGTATCTTCACGAGATAGCAATGGAGTACAAACACTCGAGAAAAATTAAAAAAAAAGCAAGAAAAGGTCCAATCAGATTCTATAACAGTATTGATTGATTTGATACCATGTAAACAGTCAGATTTAGAGAAGAAAAGAAAAGTATTTATGAAGAAAAGGAGAAGTTAGAAATTCAGCGGCAGATTGTTCTATCTGACTAGCCCTAACATTATCATTTATATGAAATTCTAATAAGCATAGTTGTCAAGGCAACACCTAGTTCCTTAGGCGACAAAGCACCCTTGGAGGCTCGCCAAGCAGTTTTGTATTCTGTGTTATAAAATGCTTTTGTATTGTTAATTTTTTGAGATCATAATTATAAAATAGACATTATTAAACTAAAATATTCATTTTGTGTGTTTATATACTAATTTCTTTTTATTATTTTCTTATTCGTTAGGGTTTAATCAACACAAACATTGCTAATTGCTGTATTGAACCCTCAAAGACTTCAAAACCTGAACCAATAAGTAAGGAAGAACTTAAAATTCTTCTTTTCCTATAACAAAAATAGGGGTTCAGCCCCTATATTTTTAAAATTTTCTTTTCTTTATTTTTCTTCTCATAAATTTGTTGATTTTGTAGACTTTAACATGAACTTTGTACTTTTATTATGAAAATTGTGGATAATTATTAAGGAAATATGGTTATGGAACCTAGGGAACAATAGTAATATAAATACATAAGAAAGACTTGTGGCCCAGACCATTCAGCCCAAAGAAAAGAAAAGAAATAAAAACCATTACAGCCCATGCCCACCAAAGAAACACTCAAACCCACTATTAACAATACCACTACAACCTCAGCCATTAGATTCCATTCCTTCACCATGCTCCAATGAAACTTCTCAACATTTGCTTTAGATCATTAGATTCCATACCCTTCCTGGATTATCCAATGAGCTACCAACAACGTTCAACTTTAGCTTATTTGTAGCTTGAGGTTTCCAATCCACTCTTACACTTTCTGCAGGTCTGACTGTGCCACTTCAGTCCAGGATCTTATTATGTCATTTGTTGAAAATTCTTGAGAAAGGTCTAAAGTTTTTACCCAATGTGATGTTTTTACTGTTATTGGCTTCAATCAGTTCCTCCTTTGATTTGCTCCTCATTAAAGATTTTCTGATTTCTTTCTTCCCATACAGTCCATACCAATGCTACTATTACTGCCGTCCACATAACTCTTCCTCTCTTCTTCTGATGCCTTAAGAAACTGTTATACCCTTTTTTATTGATAAAAGGAATTAACAGGGAATACTTCATACTTGTTTTCAGGCCAAGTCAAGTTCAGCAGTAAAGGTGCATAAAATAAGAAGCAGTCTTGAATCTTTATTTTGCTATGATAAGACTATACCAGAGGAAATAATTGAAAAGCCAGTTGGTTTGCCTCTGTCAGAAAGAAAAATTGGAGACAGTCCCCGTTGCTATCATTGTGAAGCCAAAGGTGTTGTTCTTTGCACAACTTGCTCTGGGTCGGGCTTATATGTTGACTCTATATTGGAAAGCCAAGGAATCATTGTCAAAGTTCGATGTCTAGGTAACATTGTTAATATGGTTCCTGTCATTTGTTTCTTCTATTAGTTAGATTATTGACAGATATGTTATAAGACTTCGATTGGACCAGATGGTCGGACTGTAAAACTGGGAACCTGTTTCTGGTTTTCTGGAACACTGGTTTTCAAATTTCTGAAAAAGAGGATGACCTGCCAGAAACCCATGAGAACCTTTGAAAACTGACTTGTTTCAATGGCCTGCTTGGTTCTCTGATTTATTACAAACCATAAAATGGAAATGATGAGATTTAAACCTGTGACCTCTCCCTTGCATAAATTAACGCACTACCATTCATCCATCATGGTATTTGTGTCTGTTCTTGTTTCTTTATCTATATTGTTCAAATATGTAACTGGCAGCCTTTTCGGTTTTGTGAATGGTCCAAGTCTTACAACATTGATTAACAGCTTCACAGCACAGGTGAAATGATTTAATGACTACCTTTTCAATTTATGTCTCTTTCTTTTAATCTAGTACTGATAAGGGTCCTTTGGGGCACCTAATTAATCAAGTGCATAACAGCAGCATAGTTGAAATGGTTAAATGACTATCCTTCTAATTTATCTCTTTCTTTTCTCCTGCATATTACCACCAACACCTGTTACCACTGATACATGGTAGAGTCCAAGATCGATTTCTTTTACATATATGACTATATTTATGTACGTGTATATGCATGTGCATATGTACACATAATTGATTGGGTCAGGTCATTAATAGTTGCTCTTTGTACTCATTGTGATATAGGTTGTGGAGGCGGTGGCAACATTATGTGTTCAGAATGTGGAGGCCGAGGTCACCTTGGAATGAAATGAGTTTTAATGTTTGCCTCTTTTCTTAGTTTTGCTATTTAATTCTGAAAAGGATAGCATGTAGGATGGATACATTGAAGTCGCGGTTATTCATTTGGGCTGCAACTGGTAATGGTATCGTTTGTCCAAACTTGAATTTGATTTTCAATCCAATTTAGATGATTCATAGCTTTATATTGGAATGCATATGAAGTTGGGTTCTGCATTAGGGCTGCAAAAGGTATCCACTTCAAATTTAAATTCAATCTCATTAAGACAATCTCAATTCAATCTATTTATAATTTGAAGAAATCTTTGTCGTCAGACTTGGACAACGTAGTACTGAAAAGTTCACCGGGTCATGGTTTTACCAATTAAACTATTAGTTCAGCCCGTGAGGATTGTCAATTAATCGGGACCCAAAAGAATCACCTTGTTACCGGTCAACTGTCCAGTCTAGTCCGAGTCTATCAACACTTAATAAATATGGATCTACTTGTAATCTAACTCAGAGTCTTGGAAGGGAGAGTTTGGCTTCGGTCAGGGCAAGCCTGTGCTCACTCTGGTCAGGGAGAGTTTGGCTTCTTGTAACCTTGCATTGGGAATATCTATCTATGAACTCAAGGTTCAAAGTATTGATACGTATTGGCCCGTATGGGTTGATATGTATCGTACTGATGGCTTCTTGATACTTCCCTCTAGGTGTTGTATCGGATTAAGACCATGGTTCAGAGAGTAGTCGGGGTTTAAATTGACCCCTCTAAACTGGTTTTGAAAAAAAAAAGTAAATAAAACCTAAAAAAAAAGTACTGATACAGGCCGGGTGTATTGGCCTGTGTCGACATTTTGAACCTTGCATGAAATAAAGCACATAAGTAGGGAGATATTCAGCTGTAAAGGTTGTTCAAACGGGCTTTGCCCTGGTTGAGCCGGACTCACAAGTTGTGAAATTCTTAAGCCTCAACTGTGGTTAAGGATGCAGATCCTGTATTTTCTCTCTCCCCTAAGAACATCCGTCTCTAGGGACCACATAATTGTTAGAGCATGTTCTTGAGACCTAAGAAAGTGGCATGTGTTGGTATGATCTAGGTATTTAAAACCGAATTGGATAACGAACCAATTAGGGGGTTCGGTTCCTAGGTCGAAGGTCCAACAATTCGAACCGAACAGATGGCTCGTTTTGACAAAAAAAATAAAAAATAAAATGGCCGAACCGTTGAATAGTTCGAATGGCTTGACTGCCCGGGTTAGCGGTTTGTTGACAAAATCAATAATTTTTGGGGAAATAATGATTTTGGGGTAAAACGGAACTAGTCACTTGACCGGTTCCTGATTTTTTGGTCCGACTGTCCAGTTCAGTCTGATTTTGAAAACCATGGGTATGATTACCATGTATAGTCAATCGTTGTTTCGATCATGCATCTTACATTTCCAAATTGTCTAATAAGAATTCAAACCAGCCCCCCACAACATTTCACAGTACATCCCCACCGTGTACTAGTAACATCTTTCGATGATGACATAATCATTTATGATATTATCATCCGGAGATGTTTCTAATACACAGCGGGAATGATATTATCATTTATGATATTATCATCCGGAGGTTTTTTGAGTTTTGGACCTTGCAATGTCGTTTGCTTTCGGCCTTAATCATTTTTACCCTCGCCAGGTCTTGCTCTAATAATATCGTCGCAAAGCATTGATGTTGACTATATGCTTTCAACTATGAATTTACTTTTTAATCCTATGATGTATATATCCATTCTCATACATTAGCCCCCCTAGTTAACGATTGAAGGCCATTTTAGCAGAACATAGGTTGCGCATTTTAGCCCCTGTATTTGAGTATTAGCCCCCATTTTGGAGGCAAGGTCAAAGAACGATGCTTCCAAAATTAAATATAATGTTGAAAAATTTTGTTACTAGATTAGCCCTGCAAAACTATGAAATAATTCCCTTGTAAGGATCTTTTGAAATGATAATTCTGAGGAAATTTCTTAAAATATTAGTCCCAAAATTCTAAAGAAGTTTCTTAAAAGATTAGCCCCTCAAAATTTTCAAGGAATTTCTTGTGCTAGTAAGGATTATTTTGAGAAGCAAATTTGTTGGGGATTTTTGCGAGACTGAATTAGTTAAAGACTATTAGGTAAAGACTATTCTGAAATCTTCTTTGCCACCGTTTTGAGTATCTAAGTGCATATTGCAATATTTTTGTTTTTGTGTACACTTTGCTCTGTTGAATCTATTTTCCTTGTTAATCTTCTTCCTGTAATCATGGTGCAACATCTCTTTGTTGGATGCAGAAACCTTGAATAAATATTCTTGGATAATTATGGTGCAACATCTATTTTACTCTTGATGTATCAGGATCCAACATTTCTTCATTGAACCTTATTAATATTGTTGAAACCTTGCATAAATTTGGATTATGTGATAATGTCCGCTATTAATATCCGATTTTTGCTTAGTCACGAGTCACTTCACAAGGATAATGTGAGCGTCGGAAAATAGTTAACTTGGATTGACTTGGAATCGCTACCCATCATTTAAAAAAATTGGAGATAATTAATAGAAAAGGAAAGAGATTAGACATCTCTCTCCCATATCTAGACCCGGCAAAAAGTTGACCCAATTCACGAAGCTGACCCGACCCAACCCGAAAAAACAGAGTTATGGTCTCATACTTAGCTACCTGAATGTGAGAATGACCCGACACGACTGACCCGACCCGAAAAAATTGGGTTGGGTCATGGGTCAACCCGCTGACCCGATTGTCAAATCTAATTGGGACTATTTATGCATTGTTAGAAGTTTCCACTCTTTAATTTTTTCTATTTAGTCTTTACTCTTTATTGTTTACTCTTTTAATTGTTAAATGTTCAAGTTTTTTTTTTTATTTTGTATTTTGAATTTTAAGGTTAATTCCTTTAATTTTAGCATTTTTTATGTAGTTTTTCTTTATTTTTTTAAATTTCAGTTATTTTTTTGGGATGACCCGAATTGACCCATGGGTCAACCCTAGCTCGAACATTTAGGGTTAGGGTCTAGCATTTGATAGCCCAACCCGAAATTCAACCTGACCCCAAATTAACCCAAAGTGTTTTGACCCAACCCACCCAATCCAATTGCTAGGTCTACCCATATCCGATAAGTGGAACCCACACGGAGAATACATGCATGGAGTTCGGCTTCGGTCAGGGCAAAGCCCATTCAGGCAACTTTTACTGCCTTGGATTGAGAATATCTTCGAGATATTCCCAATACAAAATTACAAAAGGCTATTAAAATGATGTGGGCATAGATTTGCCCTGATAGAAGCCGATCTCACATGCATGAGAGCAATAACAAGAATTAACGATATGACAAGATTAACAATCAACAAAAATGTAACAAGCATTTAAAAGCTTAATAAAGGAGAGAGACTAACTATCCCTACCAACGATGGACTATGTTGATAGTGGCCTAAGATCGTTTATCATGATATCAAGGACCAACATTTCATGAATTATTTATAAAATAATAAAAAGCAAAGTAAGAAAGAAGAAAAATAAATCTTTAGCAATAGAATTAGCTAGTTGAAACACCTTAGCTTAAATACTAATTTATTGTACCGGATCTAACAAACCTTAGACCAAATAATAAATAGTAATTGAATAAGTGTATCCTCACTCTTTGAAAATTAATTAATGCTACCCCCTTTTGGTTTTGACAATTGATTAATCTTATCCTTACTGTTAACATCCGTTATTATTTCATGAAAAATAGAATTCATCATCTCTTCCAACGGTGAAGGGAGATCGATGAATCGAAAAAACACTGTTCATCATCGGAATCAGTTTGGGGAGTGGATTCTTGAGAAAGATCAATGAAGGGAGATCGGATTGAATTTTGCCGCTGCCGCCCTGGTTTCAGATTGCTGCTTTGCGGTGGCGGTGATGCAATGAAAAAGAGAGTACGAAAGGGGAAGAAGAAGGAGAACTTTTGAAGGTTTAAGAGGGTTGGATTTCTTTTGGATTCTTAGCGTTGGATTATTTGAAAATGGAAGCAATGATGCAGGGGAGGTTTACTCTGGGCAAGCAGTCGTCACTTACGCCACCGAAGGTGAGGAATTGTCTGAATTTTTGGAAGGTGAGGAAAGATTGGTGGGCTGGAGTTGGGATGCTAAGCTAAAGCTTTTCTCGCTCCAGTTTGTGGTTCAGTTGGTGCAAGTTGAAATGATTGATTTGCAAACCGAAACTCTTTAACAATCCTACAACGATTATTTGGATGCCGCCTTGATGAATTTCCGAGCCATGGAAGAAGTTCTCTTGGTCCTTTATTGTGGTTCTAGAGGTTCTATGACGTATTCCAATCACATGGATAACAGAAGCTCCAAGATCTCTGTACGTTTTCTATTTATCTCTTACTTTTGCCATGTCATCCAATGTTGAGAAGCCATGATTGAACTTGAACACCTTGTTATAGAGCCACCGATCCCATCTAGGGTTCCCAGTTATAGTAGTGACCTTCGAAGGATTATGCCAGGCATCATATTGGGTTCTTAATAGGATTTATTTGTGCCGTTGTTTTTGCTTGCTCGGTATGATTTCTCATTAGGTACTTGTACAGAACCCCAATTCTCAAAGGTCAGGTTGTCTTTTCCCCAAAAAATGCTCCAATAACACTCCAATTGGCCCTCTCCAATGAAATTTAGTTAGTTGCATAGGTAGAGTTTTAATGGAAATTACTACAAAACAGTTCTTGATAATGGGCTTACCATCACGGTCAAAAGGCTAGCTTGAACCCTTCGAAAACCCTTCTTCAGAGATTCTAAGCAAGTCCGTCAAAAGACGGATATAGCTAGCGAGAGCTAGAATTGCAAGCCAGCCTAAGGCACTGGGATTTGATGAGTCTTTGAGCTTACATTCATGATGCAGCGCGATCCAGACACTCTTAGTTGGCAGACGCTTGGCTCCTGGTTGGCGATGGACGGTACCTGAGAAGAGGAAGGTGAAGGATTCCCGGGGAGCTCGCCTGGTGGGAATACTCCAATGCTTAAGTTAGAACACTTGAGGGAGCTATAAAGGATGCAAAGAAAGCTAAGAATGCAGATAGCACTAGATCAGTTCAAGTTCAGTTTTAATTCAAGATACCTTTGCCCCTTCGACACTGGGGCCTTTAAATACATATGTCCTTGTCAAATCGGGCGTAACCGCCACTGGCCCTC